AGAGATTTGCGGACAATGAAGAAGTAATCGAAGCTGTAAATGGTTATTTTGAGGAGCTTGACGAATCAGTCTATAGAGATGGCATTAATAGACTGGAACACCGCTATGAGAAATGTATCAGCCTTGGAGGAGATTATGTTGAGAAATAAAAAAAAAAAATTTTTAAAAACCTTGTTTTTCTTGGTCAGGCCGGAAACTTATCAATCCACCCTCGTATAACATAAGTACGTCTCGCGAAACATTTGATCATATCACTGGGGGTTGCTCATATTTAGTCAGCCGACAATACACCGACAGGTATAATAAATGTTGATAAAAGATACACTCGCCAAAAAATTTAAACTCATAGATCAAGTGAAGCCGTGCTGTAAATACAAACCGCAAAATGTATTAGAAAACCTCATAGCCAAGCTTTATTGGGATAGAGACTTGGTTACAGACAAAACAGTTAATCATATCAGACCTAACATCACACTGGTACCATCAAAGAAACCAAAACAACATCCTTAGTAAATGCTGTTGTACCCAACACCGAAAATCTTAAACAAAAACATGTTGACAAAATTCAAAAATATATTCCGAAGAAATAAAAGAATTNTTTAAACTCATAGATCAAGTGAAGCCGTGCTGTAAATACAAACCGCAAAATGTATTAGAAAACCACATAGCCAAGCTTTATTGGGATAGAGACTTGGTTACAGACAAAACAGTTAATCATATCAGACCTAACATCACACTGGTACCATCAAAGAAACCAAAACAACCTACGTTCCTTTACGTTCCAGGTCGCGCCGACCCCGTTGGATTAGCAATCTTTGCGCCGAATAACATATCCTTAGTAAATGCTGTTGTACCCAACACCGAAAATCTTAAACAAAAACATGTTGACAAAATTCAAAAATATATTCCGAAGAAATAAAAGAATTGTGGAATCAGTTCGAATTATTATAATTTCATTACAATATTACGTGCTAGCCTAGCCGAGTTAAAACTGCGCAAACTTAGTACATCAGTCTACAAAAATCAGTAATCCTTGATACATGCGGAATAGTACGCAGATTTATTAACATCTGTCTTTTCCAGATAACACAATTGGTTAAATTAGAAGCTTTATGAAATATTTAATAATAATTAAACTGATTTACATATAACGTACTCCAAAAGATGTTAATGAAGTTCTTTGGCATCAGCCCCCGTCTTCGTTTGCTAAAAGCTAACCAGTGAAAATTGAGAAGACTGGAGGATAATAATAGTAATACAGTAGAACCTCTTTAAGTCGAACCTCGATAAGTCGAAAACCTCCAAAACTCGAAAAAATGTTTTGTTCCCTTCCCTTCAAGCCCCAAGACCTTCATTACTCGAAATCTTAACCCTCTATTAGTCGAAATAATCAGTAAGTCCCTGCAAGCCATTTTGGTACATATTTTCCTTCTATAACTCGGAAAAATTAAATTGGACCTCTGTATCTCAAACATAGTAATGCTTTATTTTACAACCTTTACAACTCGATAGTTTGAAACTTATTACGTCTATAGTTCGAAGAAAACTAAGTTATCGACTTGTAAGGATTTTCCGACAATGTAAGTACACCAAATCTTAACCTCTACAGGTCAAAATCCTCCATAAGTAGATAACTCTATAACTCGAATAATTTGGCGCCTCCCTTGATGTTTGAGTTATAGAGGTTCTACTATATACCTTGTAGCTTGTATTGCAGTTTTTACTTTCTTCATTTGAAGTGAATGCAATATGTACTATTGTTAACTTCAGCCATTGTTTTCTGAATTGTTTCGTATAGACACCATCACCATCACGCAATAGTAGTAAAACAGTATAAATAAACCCGTAACCCGTATCCGCATATGTTTGTTCGTGTTCTTTGTGCTGTTTGTTTTTTATTGTAAATGTTAATCCGATTTTACACTTGATCGTTTCAGTATGCAACAAGCGTATGCAGCAGCTCCACCACCATCGGCTCCGGTGGCCGCGGCAGCCTCCTACATGAATTCTGCGGCTTCCTCGTTCTACAACACTTCCTCGTATCCTTATTCCTCGCTTAGTTCGGCCCGCGCCCTCAATCAAGCGTGCAAGGGTACGCCTCCCAGCTATCTGTCCTCGCCGTATTCTTCGACTGCCACGCCGTTTCAGTCTGCCACCGCGGCCGCTGGACATTCACAATCAACCCATCAATACACGTCGACATACGCCGGTTACAATGCCGCAGGAGCGTCCTTTGCACAAGGATTTCCCACGCAGGTATGCAAACAAACAATACTTTCCATGTATGCTACAATTAGATATCTGACTCGAGACCACCTAAAATGCTATCTAGGGTAATGGTGAAGATTAGCGTACACCTCTCCGATTTCCTTGAAATTTTAGTATGTCGTACAGTTCGTCATGCTAATCAGGAATATACACAATATGTTGCGCTCGGAAATCACACGCCTTCACCTACTTTTTCAGCTTCTAAAAATTAAAAACTGCGATGTTTTCGATATCTTGCAAATCATTCAATATAGATTAGATTAATGGGGACCTTGTTAAAAACATGTACAAGGTTTAAACAACACCTCCACCCCTTGCCCCCTTCCCCTCCCCCCCCTCAACGCAATCTCCCCCTATTCACCCCCCTTATCTCCCACTTCTCGGCCCCTGTTCCTCATCACCCCTACCCCCCTCATCGCCAATCTCCCCCTATTCACCCCCCTTATCTCCCATTTCTCGGTCCCTCTTCCTCATCACCCCCTACTCCCTCATCGCCCCCATACTTCCTCATCGCTTCTTAATCCCCCAACGCCCCCTACTCCCTCAACGCCCCTACTCCCTCGTCGCCCCTTCTACTCCTCCCTCATCACCCCCATCTCACCGTCGATGCAATCTTACATTAAATATTTACAAGGATGACAAATTTATCGACATCCCGTAAATATTTCACGTAAACCGTTTTACGTGACATATTTGCGGGATGACACTTTTAAACAGCCTCCTCCCTGCTCCCCCTAAGCCTTACAATTAGATTTTGTAGAATTCAGTGCGAGAGGAAAGGGATTATCTAGACCTTATTTTTTTAATACACACCCACACCCTCTCCTAACCCAACCTTATTTGAATGATTTGCGAGAATTTGAGAAAATTGTCATTCCGTTAACATTCGGCGGGTGTAAATGTTGAATCGTGGAATTTACAGGGGTGGTATTTTGCTTTTTGTTTGAAACAAGTTAGTCGTCTACCTACTAATTGGACACAAGAAAATTTTAGAAAACCTTAAATTTCGAGCTTATTTTTGATAATAATTGCATGTAATTACTAGTGGTATTCCGACTAGTAGGTCGACTAGTTTACCTCTTCACAATCGACTAGTCAGCTAGTCGGCTAAAGTCATACCTAGTAATTATTTATTTTTGGAAAGTCTAATAATTATAAAACGTATTATACGAGGTGTTCCATTTAAAAATGCATATGTTTGCATCGTAATTGAAAACGAAATGTGTTAGAGAAAAATTCATTACGCCACTAGATTCTACGTAAAAAATCCATAAGGATACGTTTTAACTTCTTGGATAAGTTTAAGGGTAACTGAGTTGCGGTGGGGGTGCCTCAAAGGTGATACTTTTCAATTCCACCCTGTATTTTAAAAGCCAAAATGGATATAAAAATTTCGCTGGCACCATTATTAGTTTCAAATTAAAAAAGTAGAGCACACTGTCCTCAAAAATAAGGAAGATAGTAGGTACCCAGTAGCCAGGGATAAAAAAAGTCCAAAATTTGTATTATTTGGCGGATCCAATATTATAATTGATCCTTTTGTATTTTTTTCCCGTAAAATACAATGGCGGGGATCCGGATAGCCAGACGCTAAGTTTTGTATTAAACAATTTTTGAAAAAAGGTCTTTTTTGAACGTTGGTGCTTAATATCTCTTTATAACTTTGGCACTAAATTAGCGCTAAATTTTCAACAATCAACATGAATTCACATCAGTTTCACATCAACATGAATACATTAAATAATTTTATTTGTTTATTTGCTAATGAATACCTATATAATCTATAGATTGAAACAGCAGTGATCACTTATTTTGGATTTGAGAATTCATAGTGAGAGGTTAAAAAAATTTTGGACTTTATAAGGCATTAGGCAGTGCTGTAAATTAAGTACGCTGATTTTCAATATGAAATGAGCAAGGCAAGAGAAGGAGGGTTGGTGGTGGGAAGAAATAAAAATTCGACAGTATTATATGCAGATAATATGGCCTTGTTGGCGATCAGTTTTGTGGGTTTAAGGGATACAGTTGGAAAGCTGGAAAAATACTTGTTAAGAAAGGGATTGGAAGTAAATTGTGAAAAATCAAAGGTAATGGAGTTTAAGGAGAAGAGGGGAAGAAGGGGAAGGGGAAAGCAGGTAATACTATCGAAAAGGGCGGAAATAGAAAGAGTGAGGAATTACGTATATATGTTGGGAGACAATAATGGAATGAGGTGGCAAGTAAATAATCATGTAGCGAAAGGGAAGGTCATCATGGGAAGGGTAGGGCTTGGGTTGCAAACTGTGTAGGGAGGATTAGGGAAGAAGGATGATGCTATTCGATGTAGTTGTAAGAGGGTTTGTGTTTTATAGAGTTTCTAGTCTAAATTTTCTAATAGAGTAAGCAAGAAGAATAGGAAGAAAAAAAAACATGTCTTATATAAAAAATATATAAAGTGGGTTCTAATGTTAGGAGGTAGTACACCAGACTTTGCAGTAAGGAGATAAATCAAATGCGGGAAAATGTAGAAACAAGCGTTGAAAAGAATGGTGCAATACGAGGGGAAATTAGAAAATCTAGAAGGAGAATAAGAAGATAAAAGGTCATGACCATAGGTAGGAGAAATAGATACGACAAAGAGAGAAAGAGAGAGAGAAAGAGACAATACACTAGGGTTGTTAAAAATTAACCAGGAACAGTTGATGGAGTGGAGAGTGCAAAGTAAGAATATGTTGAAAATGGTGAGAATGAGATATAGCGAAATAAGGAGGGAAAATGATCTAAGAAAAATAGGGGAATCTAGGTATTCGGTGAGACTGAAGGAGTTCTTATGGGGAGATTGGCTGGGGGACTTGGCTCCAAGTTATTTAGAAAGTGGAAGGAGTTTAAGTGTCTTGACTAGAGTGAGAACAGGGAATGAGTGTAGAGGGTGCAAATAGTGGCTCAAAGAGGTGGACAAGAAGTGTTGGTTGTGTGATAGGGAGGCAGAATACTTAGGCCGCGTGCTGGAGGGATGTGAGGGAAGAAGGACAAAGGAAGAATGTGTGGAGTTAGTGAGCGAGGAAGGGGTTGTTTGAGCTTATTACGGGAAATATTAAGAAACAGGAGACTATAACAGTTTTGTTTGTATTTTTTTTTTCTCCTTACCAATTTTTTTTCATAAATGTTCAAAAAACTGAAGTCTTAACGTAGTAAATTATTCTGTAACGTTTCTATTCCTCGAATGCAAGTCCTTCCTGGGTAAAATTTTGTTTTAGATAAACACGTCCACTTGTCTTATTAGTTTGAAAAATTTAAGACAATTATTGTGTCGGTAAAGAGAAAAGTTTGTACTTAGAAGAATTATTATTAAAAAATACTTAAGTATCAGATTAAATGAGCAAGACCAAGACCAATACCAATATTTAATGTATCTGAGCAAGATCAAGACCAAGACCGAATAAGCAAGACTGGGACAGTCTTGGTATTGGTTATGGGTTGCTCATCACTACCTACTGTTATTTGGGGATATAGATTTTGTCTAAGGGGTTTACCTAAGGGGTGCAGAGGTTATATAATTCAAGCCGTGTTCTAACCCTGGCGTAGACCACAGTGTAAAAGAATGGTTCAATTAACATTTTCAAATCATTTTAGTACATCAATATCTCTACATGGGAATTAAAAAACCTTATTAATCATTGGATTGTTTTTATGTCCCACTAATGTATAAAAGTTTGTTACAAATAATAGAATATGGTATACTTCAACTGTTCTAATAATCAACATGACACCACAAAATGCATTTTCATTATTAAAAGATCGTTTTTTAGATGATGGTTTGAAAATTTAATTAAACAGTAAATTAAAAAAGAAAAGAATACTGCTATTTACCATGACCTGTTTAATTTACAATCAATTTTAATTTACGAAGGCTATTTAACGATTCAAACATTGTGACAATTCATTAATAGTTTCACAGTTGAGGAACAATTTGAATTTTAAATTAGGTTGCACCATAAACGGTAATGGTTAGCTTTGTAATAACGTAAAAGGAAAAAACTCAAATACCTATGCGATAATATCTACAAATCTACACTATTGTCCAGTTGTTGCTACTATAACAGTTAAAAATTCGCATAAAAATAGAAGAAATGCCAAACTGTTCAATATACAAGCTGTCCCATCCCAGTTTGCTTTTTATTATAAGCTTTTTACCGTTACAGAAATGTCTTAGATACCTATAAGTCTCCTAGATTTTTGTTTTTTTTTTTATAGCAGAAATGTACAAAATTTATACTTATTCGGCTTTTTTTTTAAATAGAACACATTTTTCATTATACCTACCTTTTTGTTTTCTTAGTCAATTGATTTTAAGTTAAATGACATAATCGGACCTAAATTCATTTACACGAGACATTTGCGTGTATCAGCAAGAAACTTACAAAATTATTTTCATATGTTGGGACACCCTGTATGTAGCTGCATTGTAGAAATTTATCTACGCTCATTTATTCCATCAAAACATGTATCAACTTTTAGTGAAATCGCAATTTTGTGTACGAACATGTTTAAAAAATAAAGCTGTCGCCATAAATGTAAAATTATTATGACCATCCAAAAACTTTGTTTTGTTGTTTTAATATAGTACAGGTATAACTTTCTATCAGAGTTGAGATGCTTTAAATCATGATCAATTGGATTTTTTAAAATAAAAAAATCGATTAATTA